TGTGTGTGTGTGCATACATGTGTGTGTGTGCATACATGTGTGTGTGTGCATACATGTGTGTGTGTGCGTGTGTGTATCGTATACGTGTGCGTGTGTGTGTGTATGTTTACGTGTGCGTGTGTGTGTGTGTATACGATGGTGTATTGTGTGTGTATGTATACGTGTATGTTTGTGTGTGTATGTATACGTGGTCTGTGTGTGTGTGTATGTATACGTGTATGTGTGTAATGTATACGTGTATGTGTGTGTATACGTGTTGTGTGCGTGTATATACATTTACGTGTTTGTTTGTGCATGCCTGTGTGTGTACGTTTGTCTGTTGTTTTCTTAGTTCTTAGGCATTAGCTGGTTATTGGTTATGGGAAAAAAAACCAAGTTAATTAACTGTATAGCATTTATTTACATGCAGGAAAATTATAATTGGGGAAGGGAGGGTAAACCACTCATTCATAAATGTAACTTTAACGGCAATATATATATAATTCATTTTTTTTTAATCATTTCACACTTTCACAATGATCTTCTTTACGCAATGGTTATGAAAATATTATCCAATACAAAATAGTATATATTCTTTTTTTTTTTTTTTTACAAGATAGACTCCAACATTATTATCGTATTTTTTTTTTTTTAACATTTTTTTCTTGAATAATTCTAAACTGAAATAGCACAAGCCCGCACTAAAGGTTTTTTAATCTCCCTTGGCCTTACTGTGGGGGGGGGGCGGGGGAGGGGGGGGGAGGGAGAGGCCAAAGGTCAGCCTGATTCACCCACGCGACTTGACCCGGAAACGGACGGGTCAAGGGTCACCATCATCATCAAAAAAAAAAAAAAAAAAAAAAAAGTCAATTTTTTTTTTTTTTTTTTTTTTTTTTTTTTTTTTTTTTTGACTCAGCGACGTTCTGGTTCATTTGAATTCGATGACTCAACGAGCAAATGGTAATCTGAGTTTTTTTTTTTTTTTTTTTTACTCACTTGGCGTCCTCGACTCATCCGAATCAAATGACTCGTGACTCATTTCTGATTCAGCGATTCCTCTGACTCATTTGGACTCACGAGTAATGGAGAGACTCAAAGAAAAATCAAAATCCAGAATTTTGCATTTTAATTAAGTTGTTAATTCGTCTCGTCTCTTAGAAACAATAATAAAATAGGCTTGTTAACCTCACACGATCGCGGTGGGTGACAACGAACGCATTTTTTTTTACTTTTTTCCCCCGAACTTTATAAAAAGGACAAAAATAAACCTCGCTGGTCTCTTTTCCCCTCAATGGTCGTTCTAATTAAAAGTTTTTGTTTTTTTTTCTCTCTCTCTTTCGTATTCCCAGAATCCGCCGCAAAGAATTTTGTTGTTGTAGACGGACTGAGGAATTTAAATTTGGCGGCCGTTACGGGTGTGGCATTTCAAATGGCAAGGAATATTTGGGCGGTAAAGTTCCCTCAAATATATCGATGTTGTCGAGGTTTCGTAGCCTATATATATATATATATATATAATATATATATATATATATATATATATATATATATATATATATATATGCAGATAAATACGTATGGTTAGATACTCATTTATATATCTATATCTATATCTGTATTTATATATATGATCTCTTTATAGAATTTATCCATCTGTTTTAAAATTATTTTCACGCTTCGTATTGGAAATAAATCATTGTTAAAAAATATATCACATTTTTTTCTCCGTCTTCACGATTTCTCAAACAATTTTTCTTCTCTCACAAAATTCTTAAAGTCTACAGATAGACGGGTTGTTATTTATTGCGTTGCTCAGAAAGGTGTGTCGAGATCGCTTGAGGTTTTCAACGTCTGTCGGTTTCGTTACACACACATGTAGAAGACCAAAAAAAAAAAAAAAAAAAAAAAAAATGGAAGGTTAATTTCACATTCAAGGATTTTCCCGCTTTTTTGGGAGAGAGAAAATATGAATGCAAAATTACCTTCTGCTCGAACTACATGTATCATCGTGCCGCGTTTTTTCCCTCCTTCCTCAGTGTCACGTGACCAAAGCGCACGTCACTTGTTTTCAATTATCTCAATCTTCGAAAGTCAAGACCTCTAAACATACAAATCAAACCAAAATCAGTAAGGAACTAACATACACGCTCTAAGGTTGTTGTTTTTTTTTATGTCGCAACAATTAACAATTAATTCTTTTTTTATCCTTTTACTTTAGTCTACGCTACGATTAACAGGCTTCTGAATCCTACTTTAGTTACTCCTCTCTACAGCAAAGTCTAAAAGGACTACGAGGGATCCCAATACCCCAGTTAAGGGGAAAAGGATCTCAATTATTACCGGATATAAACTACCTGGCAAGAACTTAAATAAAAAAAGGAAGAGTTGAAAGAAAAACAAAAATCCTGGTGGAACTAACAACAAAGAAAACGGTTATCAAAGAAAACGGTTATCAAAGAAAACGGGCTTCACTACCTCACGAAGCAGAAAACGAAAAAGGAAGGCGATTCTCACGCAGTCT